GAGAAATATTCTTGTTTTCATTTCCTTCCTTATAGCCTGAGGGACTCTCGGTCATTCAGTTCTTAAATCTAGTATCCCACCTCAAGAGTTGCAAAGGATTCTTTAATGCCAGTGACTTCCTCGTGGAGAGTACTCATGAACAGCAAGGACTCAACTCGTTTGAAGGCAAAAGGTATTTCAACCAAGATTTTAAGGAACCTCTCGGCAGGGCCCAGTTGAGAAACATCTCCTGTAAATAATCTAAGCCTCAGTTCCTCATCTGTTGTTAGTGTCATCTTCTGCAACGTTTGAAGGAGCTCTGCTGGAAGCTCATTACCTGGTTCAGTTTATTTTGAAGAGTAAGCTGTCGCGTGTATTTAAGAGTGAAGAAGGTGGATCTGAAACAAACATTTCACAAGCATATTTTAAATGGCTAGATGAATAAGAATTTAAAACTTTCTGCCTTTGCAGCCAACGTCTATGCACTTAGTATCTCAAATACTATCTTTATATTTGACATGCTTTTTTCACATAAGTGGCAACACAACTGGTGAATGCTTAGAAATATTTGCCAGTAAACTGTTAAAAGCGGAACTGAACCACAACAATCCTTGTTCAGCTGAAATGAAATTTATTGAAACATTTGTGGAAGCTAAATATAGGACTCTATACTATTCACATCCAGGAGATAAATAGAATGACAATTGATCTTAGTGAATCCTTCAACACCTTTCTCCTCTAATACCAGGGTTATGAACCATCAGAAAGGGTTAAAAACTCAAAACTCCATGAAGCGCTTAACGAATAAAGCAACAGAAAATAGAAACTTACCAAATAAGCCCAATAATAGGCACAAATAATTACTCGATTTCCTATTACATTCAACACCAAAAAGTTCTCTAATAATGTAGTTTCTTTATGTTTCTAAATTTAAAGGGGAACTTAATGTATTTGGCATTAGAAATTCTATTAACTCCAAATCATTAACATGCGAGAGTTGTTTGGAATTATCAAGTATTGAAGAATGTTTGCATCTAAACTGAAGATAACATTATCAATTTAAGCAATTGATTATTTTGTTCAATCAAATTTTATGCATTCTAATTGTCTGTCAAACTAGAAAAATAAATTATGGTTTGCTAGTATGATAAAGCAATTCTCTCAGTATTTCTTTAAGAGACAGAGAGAGACCTTCGTGTAGAGCATTAACAACTTCCTCTGTTGTGACATTTAGTGCACGTAGAAGAATAGACAAATTTTGTGCTTTCCTAGTGTCAATAATCTGAATGTACTCGATCGTAGGTTCTGATGGTGAGTCTCTCTTTTGATTATTCTGGTTATTAGTGCCGTGATTATAACCAAATAACGTCTCTATCATCTCCTCATTGAACCTGCAAATGTTTTCAATACAATTTGGAGACAAAAAAAAAATTTTGACTAAGCACTATTAGTCAGAAAATCTAAAATTAATGTAAGGTAGAAGTGTTGCCTTACTGGAATGATCCAGCACTGATCTCATGCCAAACCATTGTCTGATCTGATTTAGCCATAGCCTTGTCCCAAAAAAATGGTTTTAACTTGCTTTTGGCGCTCCAGATTCAGCAACAGTCTCATCTGCACTACCAGAAGCACTAGGTCTTCGATGATGTGGTCCAAGGGGTGAAGATTTTGATTTTGGTGGCATAGGTGGAAGGCAAGCAACTTTAGGTGGAGGTGGGGGCTTAGGACAAGGAGGAGGAGGTGGTGGTGGTGCTGTGGGAGGAGGAGGAGCTGATCTCCCAGGAGGAGGTTTCAGGGGAAGAAATGTTGCTCCTGCAGTTTCATCTGATGCTGGTGCTTTTGCAAGTGAGGCATCATTATAATCTTTCTTCATTGATAAACTACTAGCAAAAGAAGGATTCTTTTGGCTGCTAGTACTGAATTCTTTGTTGCTGGAACTTCCTAAACTGATAGACTTCTGAGAAGAATCTGGAAGATAGTAAGTTAAAATGCTTGCGGAAACATGGAGAAGAAAGTGAAGATGATGACGGCTCAATGACAAACGCAACAAGCACATACCAGGAGAGACATCATTTAAGTAGAGAAGAGGTTTTTCATCCTTTTTTTGGCTACTTCTCTTCAAACAACAAAAGAAGACCAGTGTAACTAGAGCAAATGTCGTGGCTGCAGTAGCAATAACAGCAATAACAGTCTTCATGACAACCTGCTTTTCATCTTCTGAATGCTGTGTTCTATCATGGGCACCAGGTGATAAATGTTTATGTGTTGCCTACGATGGGCTAGAATGAGAATGTTTTAGATCGGGCAGTGGTGAAGTAGTGGAAATCATATTTGATACATGAAGTGAATTAGCTAATTCGCCTCCAGGTGGATGAAACCTTAGATAGCTTGAGTGAGCCTGATGGGATGGTGTTGGACCATAACTAAATGTTACAGGAGAAGATGTCAGTACAGATGTTGATGCTGGTATCGGTGGTGCTATCTCAGGAACTAGATCTAGAGAAGGACCTGAGGTTATGTGCTTATTTGATACGCTAACCAGATATCTTCTAGGAGCAGCTGGCAATTTGAAAATGAACTCAAGACACTTTTGGAAACAGTGCTTAAAGGTAACCTCTGGGTTAGAAGCATGAAAGAGAGGTCCTTTCTTTCTTAAGCAAGCAAAAATCGTTTCTCTCACTTGAGGAGGCAAAATATCAATAGCTTTGTGTATGTTTTGTTTTGCTGATAATGTTGATATCAAGTCATTGGTTGCTTGAGGTATATACAGGTCAAAATCTTTAATAGCAACTCTTTTTTCTGCCATCTCTTTCTTGCAATGAATCCATGCCTCCTTAACCTGTAATTAGAAATTTTGTAAAGCTTTTAGCTGGTAATATTTTCAATCCTAAATCTAAGAATTTGACTAGATTAAGAAAAAGGGGGGCATGCTAGGTGGAAATTTTAAGTACCTTTTTTTACCAGCTTTAGGGCCAGGCATTGTAGGGAGAGGCAGAAGAGGAAAGAAAGACAAAAGAAGCTACAGATTGAACATAAAACTATAAAACTTAAATAGCAATGTCAATAAAACTGAAAACTGTAACAAATAACTCTTGATCCGTAATTGCTGTCACCTATAGATGAACATTTAATTTTGCATTTCTGCGCATTAACCATCAAAGATACTAAGACTAAACCTACTTCTACATGAATCTTTGCTATAATCTGCCTCTAAACCCCTAGAAAAGGAAATAACTAATCTTATATATCAAAATAACGGACATTTTTTTGCATAGCTTGGATGCCTGCATAGTCCTTTCAACTGCTGAATTACCGTTGAAGCCAAATTGATTTGCCCCCATATAACAAGAATTTAACAGAATCGCCTAAGATTTAAAGTAATTCTTTTGAACTTAAATTCAAAGCATGTTTTGCTCAATTGCCTTCACCACAATGCTATACATGCTAAAGTTCCAATTCAGACGAGAATCTTCAAATGTATTTTTGCCACTAACAATAACCATTAACAACATAAGTGCTCCAAGAATTAAGAAAATTAAAGAAAGAAAAAATCATCTTACCATTTTTTCATTTTTCTTTGGAGATATCCTAGCCCTGCCTTCATTGGAAAAAAATGTTTCAGGTATCCTCCTCTTACCTTCCGAGCTCCCCATGGCCAAAGAGCAAAGCAGCATCATGAAAGAAATGGCATAACCAGCCCTTCTCATTTCCGTTGCTCCTCCAAACATCACCCCATTCGCTTGTTTTTCTGCTCATTTCATCTAATAGACTAAAAAACTTTCAAAACGTAAAGAACAAAAACCAATAGCAAACGCCAAAAAAAAAAAAAAGAATCTTTTTCTATATTCCTTCTCTTCCTTTTTCTTAGCCTTCAAGAAAAATGCCAAACAACCCAAAAATAAAATTTTAAAACCAAAAATAAAAATAAAAAGAAACTTTTTATCTTTTAAACTTTTTCTTTGCACAATTGCATTTATCAAACCTTGCAATGACACAATACTTTCAATGTCTCTCAATCTTAATAACCAAGAAATTAAAAAAAAAAAAAAAAAAAAAAAAACAACGGGTTACGTGTCTGATGTTTGCAACTTGGCAGAACCAAAAGACTAAAGTCTAAAGTATTACAAAGGCAAAAGCCAGGTCTTGGTTCGTAATAATATGATGAATAAGATTTTTTTTTTTTTTTTGTCTGTTGGGATATTGGTTCATCCGAATGTTTCTCGTTTGTCGGGTGAGGAAAGAGGGAAAAGCGAAACAGATTACCTCGTTTAAGAGACGTGAGGAGGACCGTGTGGGATAAGCCACCCCTTTTTGTTTTGTTCGCTATTTGTCCTTTTTTATTTTATTTTATTTTTACTTTTCGTGCTAATCATGTAATGGAACCCCATTAAGAATCCCTTGGCAACCCGTTAATTCCCTATTTATTTATTTATATAGTAGTTGTTCTCCATATTATCTTATTTTTAATCTTAACTAAATTTTGTATAATCATTTAAAGTTTAAATCATTTTGAATTCAAAATTAATTCAATTTTAAAGCCATTTCAATTTTAAACTGAGTAAATTTAAAATTATTAATTTGTTTTAATGAAATTGAATTAAATTAGAATTAAAGTTCAATAGACTAGACAAGTTTCGTTAATATTAAAACTATATCTCATAAAAAAATTCAAAAGTGATATATGTCCTTAAATATAATAAAATCATCAACCTCAGTTTAATTTCACTAACAATAATATTTATAAAATTAATGTCATAAATAATTTTTAAATTATAATAAAATATTTAATTTGATATCTAAATTTTAAAAATATTTTATATGATATTTAAATTATAAATTTATTAATTAATATAATATTTAAAAAATATTTATCTATTTTACATTATCATTTAAAATTAATCACGTTAAAAATAATTAACACATTAATTAATAAATTTATAATTCAATTATAACATTAAAATATTTTTAAATTTAAATATCATATTAAATATTTTACTAAAATTTATGAATTATTTACGACATTTATAATATAAGTTTGACTTTATCTAAAAGCGTCAACCAGTCGAGGGGCATACTCTGGCGGTTAGGCCAGCAAGCACGACCAACATTTGGGTAGGGCTTGGAAACTCCTTCATACACGAGCCCACCCAGCCATCTTGGAACTGGCCTAACAGACTGTCCATTGCATGGTATGTAACATATTGCGTATATCAACTTACCATTTTCAAAGTTTCAAGACTTCAGACAAGGAGTACGCGATTGGTAGAAATACTGGCCAACCCCAACCTGTTCCTTTTTTGGGGGGTGTATTTGAAGAATTCTAAGGAAATTGAAAGGGATTTAAACCTTAAGCCTCAACACTGTTGACAATGTGAACTGCTTGGCTAGACCAAAGTTTTGCTTTTATGAAATCCAAATAAGCTTTTACATCCATTGAAGTCTGTATCCACAACAAAGCTGTGGTTTTCCTTGAAAACTTACACCTCTAGGACACGTGACCTTCGTTTGATGGAATGTCCTCTTCATTTTTAAGGTTCGAACAATTCCTTTGTGTTTCGAGATAGCTAATGCTTAGACGTGGTCCCGCAAGAGCTTCCTCTTTGTGATCATCCGTTGATTGATTCCTATATGAATGGACCAGCAAAACAGAGTTAACATTGATATATTTGCATAGATAAATAAGTTTTTATGATGTATTGGGCAGAAAAAAAATCAGAGATGATTTTCCATTACACAGAACCATATGCAAAAGCCAAGATCCTACACCTCTTTCATTTAGAGTTTACAGATTCTTCAGTCGTCAAATCAGATTCCTTCACCTCAACAGCAGGCATCTATTAATTAAAACATGGAAGGAGTTATTGCATGCAACAATAATTGACTGTTTACCATAAATAGAAAATGCTTTTCATTGATCTAGATAAATACTCCTTCCTGTTTCTCCCCCCATTTTCTTTTCCTTACCTCAGCATCCTTGGGCTTTGAAGGTGAAGTCTCTTTCTCAAGCAACTTTGACTTCTGAGAAGAAATATTGCTGATGTTAACCTTCATTAGATCAGGGGAAACATCACTAGCGAAAATACTCACTTTCAACTTTTCAATTCGTCGAATTGCGTCGATAATAAATTGCTGGTGGAACTCAGCTTCAGGAATTGAGAGGATCTTTGTCAGATCTGGATTGTAAGACCTATATTTTTATTTTTTAATAGTTGGAAAATCAGAATAACATATGTTATCAAACTATCCAAAGCTGTCCCAAGCAATAGTCAAAATTACCTGCTACAACTTATCAAAAATTGATGATAATTATGCAGAAAATAAATATTGGAAAATAAAAATAATGACCTCATCTTGTCCTGAGCTTCGTATTTTTGCTGATTGAGTTCACGCAGTTTTCTCTCAAGAGCCTGGAAATCAAAAGAGAGCAAATCCAGAAAGTTATGGGGAGCAAAGAACAGCAAGTTATTCAGAGTTTGTTGACCTCCAAGCTGAACATCACATTGCGTTAACAGCCGATAAATCATTCATACAATAAAATAAAAAGAATGCTTGTGAGAAAGAAATAAATTAAAATAAAGCAAAAATTCTTTTGCATGTGTGTGTAAGCACGCAAATGTGCATGCTTGGAGAGAGAAAGAGAGGACATCACACCTTCCTATTTTATCCAGCATTTCTGCTTCATACTTCAAGTGCTTCAGGCTTTGGTACAAGAACTATAAGCACAGGCAATATACAGCAGAATAAGCGGACAAAAAAAATCTCAGAACAAGGGGCAAAGGAAAGAAGACAGACCGATAGACTACCTCTTCATTGTCAACAGGTCTATATACAGAGAACATTTTGAGGATAAACGGGGGTGGAAACACAGACAAGGACAGGTACAAAAATATTAGTAAACCCTCAGCTTGGCTATTTGTGAAATATTTTATAAAACAAAAATAGCAAATATGACTAAAACAAACCCTTTGAAATCATCAGGATGGTCAATATAACGAAGAAAGATATCCTCGATTCTGTAAAAGGAATAACAAAAAATTTAGCACAAGATGCATTTATATAAAACTTATAAACACAAGATCAAGGAAAGAAGAACATAAATAACATTATTATCAATCAGATACTATTCATCAACCTTCCCTTGTGAGCATAGTTGGTCAATCGGCCTGTAGGAGAAAACATAAGAAGGCCAACATCTGTGTCACATAACATAGATAATTCAGTGGCCTTCTTGAGAATGCCTTCCCTGCATTTTGAATAAGTTATCTGACGAGAGCAAGGATTGTCAATTCTCTTCATCAGGTGCCTCTTGTGACCCATGATCAATGGAAATTGGATAAGAAAGCAAAGAAGAAAGAAAAATTGTTGTAGGCTACTAAAAGAACTGGAGTTTATAGGATAAGAAGGGAAGAATATGCATTAAATTTTCGGGCCATGCAAGAAGGAAAAATAGTTATGGTAATATGCCAATTGTCAAAAATTCCCTCAATCATAATCACTAAGGGATTTTCTTTGGCCCGATTAAGGCTTTCGGAGAAAATTGTAGATATTCTTGAACTTAATTATGAGAAAATAAAATTAATTTCAGTAAACCAATAATTAGAAACTAATTAAAGCAAAAATAAAATATTATCATTAGAATGGTTTAAGGTTTTGATGGGAGTTGTCCAACAAGAAGGCAGCGAGAGCGTCTTCCAGCCACAACCAACGGATTGACAAGCTCCGCGTGGCATTTCCGTAATGAAGATCGTACAAATTCTAAAAAAGATTCATTCTTCATGAAGCAAGTACCAGTTAGAAGTCCAAGGGAATCCATCGTCGGTATCAAGAGACTAGAGGCAAGACATAACTTTGTATGTTAATTCATTTCCTCATAGGAATTTAGAGATTTACATACAAGTTATAAAGAAGAGATATCAGATAATGTACAGAGTTTAAGTGAAAGCATTAACATAAGCTAACCCTCCATTTGAGGCAGAATAAATGCATGCAGGAATTGCTAGATGAATTGTGAACTCTATTGTGTTGGTTTCCAATTTTCAACTGGAACTCCTGTGATCATTAGAAGACACGCTTAAGTTTCAAAGGTCCATCAGCCTAGAATTTCATTTCACATATTTCATCGAATCAAAATAACCTTCTTCGAATGATTGACTTTCTGTTCAGAGAATCTGGCTAGTAATCCTACAGAATGCATGTAGCTGGACGGTTAAATAGTATTCAATAGTGTGCATAGAATCCAAGTGTCAAAGCTCCTAGCTGAGATTAGTTTACTAATTAGAAACTATCTTTTTACTAAATTTTCACAAAGGTATTCTTGATGAAGTTATCTATCATATATGAAAAAAGAAGAGTAGCTCACTTATTAAGGATTTAGATTCAGATTATTTAAGTTCCCCTTAATTCTACACCAATCACTCATCAAAGTAAAGAATAGAGCATATCTTAATCACCATATTTCAGAGTTAAAGAAAGGGATTCCATTAGTATGTAATAGTTAGTGCTTCAACCTCCCTAGTGAAAGGAGGAACAAAAGAATTAGAGCAAACCCAGTTTTGAATGACAACAGATAATAGAATACCTGAATCTAATTAACTATCCCATACAACACAATCATCTTTCCTTTTTTTCATTGAATAAGGCAATTCTTTAACCCCGCCCCACTCCCACCCCAAAGAGCTCAATGCACGTATAAATACCATATATCAGAAAAATAAAAGGAAATTGTAGAAGCAAGCAAACAAGAAACAGAAATTGCCATGAAACAGATATAAACACAAAGCAACAAAAAAGGGAAATTTGTTGAATGCACCGAACCACCTACTTCAAACAATTAACCAAACGTTTTACTTATTTTGTGAAAGGAGGAAGTATTAAAGCTCACCAGAGCAATAACCAACGAAAAAGGCAGGTGAGTGGGACCCAAAACTCAAGAAAACTCCAAACAATTCATCGGACAAAACTTTGAAGTTGGATACCCATTTTCGGATTCCCTTGACCTAGCTCACATGTTTCTCCAGCGGCAAACCAATCAATCCCACTTTAGCCTATGTTAGGATTGAGGCAAGGAAGGAGAAGGAAAGCAAACAAAATGAAATTAAAAATCTTTAATGATATAATAATATATATATATATATATTTATATATGTTTAGTTTTTCTTTATTTTTTTCAATTTTTTTTATTTTTTAATTATCTTTAATTGAAAAAAATAATATAATATAATATTTTTAAAATATAAAATAATTATTATATTCTTATTAATTTTTTTATATTATAATGTGTACAATTTTAAATTTTAAAATTAAATTAAAAATATAAAATTATTATTTTCAATAAATTTGTTATCTTTAATTTTTTCTTTTAATATTTCATAAATTTTATAATAACTTTTTTATGAATAAATAAAAAATATAAAATATAAAATACGTTAACGCAAATATATAAATGTTATAATAAAAATAAAAATTATCAAAAATTATAATGTTAAAATTATAATATAATGAATTTTTTTATTATTTAACAAAATAATAGTAGTTAGAATTTTTTTTTTTATTAATTTTAACTATCTAAATAATAATTGTTAGGATTTTTGTCTTTAATTTTTTCACTTTTGTTTTTTATAAGATTTCCCACATTTACTTATTCTTTTATTTATTTTTAAATAAATATATGATTCAAACATATATATTTATATATGTTTATTTTAAAACAAATATATACATATATAAAAAGTGAGATCAATTTAATAATATATACATTTATTGTGCTATTCAATGAATAATTCAAATTCAATATTGAAATCCAATAATTGGATAGAATTTTTACATTACAAAAAAAAAAAGATAATGCTAAAATTCTAACAAATAAAGGAAAATATATATATATATATATATATATATATATATATATATATATCCTCTCGCCGATGCCTCTCTTTCCGTCTCTCATTTTCTTTTTCTTTTTTTTTGTTCTAAATTCTTCTATTATCTCTTTTTGTCAAAATATTCTTACGTATTACTGCTTCTTCCTAAATTATCCCTATGATCATTTTTAATGATACTACTGAAATGGTGACCAAATTAGAATTGGGAATAATCTTTATATAATGTTATATATATATGGTTAAAGTATTTTTTGTATTTTTTATGATTATATTACAATCAGCTGAAGTATTAAAACTTTATGCTATTCTAACATTGTATAGATATATATATATATATAACATTGTTGAAGTATTAAAATTATATATATAGTTGGATGAAAATTTTTTACATATACATATATCAATAATTATCCTACAATTTTAAGCTTATAAATGATATGCATTACATTTTTTTTTTCAATTTGGCATTTTCCTTTCAAAGGTATTGTTTTTATGATTTTATTCTTATAGAAGAATTTTTTTTTCTTTTTATGCCTATACGAAAACATATTAATCTTTTTAATAAAAAATGTATTTGCTACTATAATAAATACGCTAATTAATGAAACAACTAGTAAATTACTTTTTATTTTTGGGTAAAAAATAACCAATTTTTTATTATGCTAGGTTTTTTTATACTCATGCTCTGCACAGTTAATTTCATAATTATGTAATATTAAAATTTATAAAATTTTGATAATTATATGATTTTATATTGTATCATCAATATCATATTTATTTATTTTTTTAATATTGTTCTTAAATTCTAAATATAAACATGAAAATCTCAATAGTAAAGATGGATTAAATTGCTCTCTTTGCCATAACAATTTGAATATAAATGTTGGCTTTCATTTTTTTAGTTATTTGATGATGAAAAAATATTTTTGTATTACATATTTATTCTATTTAACTTTTTTTCGATAAACGATGTGTTTTATTTTTCTAAAGAGATAAGAATATTTTGTTATTATTACAAAAATTACAAACTATATATTGACAAATACAAATGCAAAATTAAGTGCAAAAATGTTAGTGAAAATTTTATGTGCTCACACGTTATACTATTAATCTGAGTAATAATATACATTATAAATTCTTACAATTTATAATTGCATTAAAATTTATATTTTTTAAAAGACTTACTTTTGAGGAGTTGAATCCAAGAAAATTCATCGTGCCAATCATATTGCATTTGACTACGTTATAAAAATATTGTTAAGACTAAAAGACTTTAACATTGGTTTGTATTAGTTATATTTAAGTAGTTTTTTTATTAAGATTTAATCTAAATCTTATTTGTGAAACTTTTAATCAGATTACATCTTATACATAAAAATAAAAATACACGATATAAAAAGAATAACAAATTTTTAAATTTTAATATAATTGCATATTAAAATTTATTCAAAAGAAAAATTCACTGCCTCTTACATAAAAAATATTTTTGCAAATCATATTAATGAATGTACAATTCTAACACTAAAAAAGACATGTTACTAAATAATTAGTTATAAAACTTAGATAAAATATTTTTATTTTTAATTAGAAAAGTATGAGACTCAACTTTATCAAATCTATTAAAAAGTTTTGAAGTGAAAAAATAAAATAGTACAAAGAGCATTTATCATTATTTGTAAATAAAATATTCAAATAAAATTATTTAATTTGATTACCCAATTAAAAATAAAAATAAATGTAAAACAAAATAATTTTATAAATTATTGGATGATAAAATTAAAATGTATAAAAATTTTAATCATTAAAAATTTGTTTCCACACATTAAAACTTCTTTAATATTTTAGCTATGGATAAAAAATCAAATGAACTTACTCCATAGAATAAATTTTTTAAAATTTTAAGAGACTAACAAATTACTTATATTTTTTAAAATAATACCTTTTAAATTAATGAATTTGTCAATAATCATGTTTGTTAATAATCATAAAATTAATTATAATATATAATAAATTTTAATAATTACTTGTGATAATTAGTTTTTTGGGCTTTCTTGATATTTTAGTTTTCTTCAATTTAAAAATAAGATTTATCCATTAATTGTGTCATTTTAGTTTTCTTTACCTTTTCATTTGCTTTGATTTTAAAAATAATATTTATTAATTAATTGTGTTTTTTTGTGCTTTCCTTATTTTTTGGATTTCTTCATTTTTATAAATAATATTTATCTATTAATTGTAATCATTGGTTGTGGCTTTTTTGTTTTATTGTCTTTTGATTTTTTAAGATATTAAAGATAGCATTCACTTAATAGTGTTTTTTGAACTTTATTTGTCTTTTATTTTTTATTTTTATAAATATAATGTATATTTATTAATTGTGATAATTGATTGTGTTTTTTTTTTTTTATCTTTTGATTTTCACAATTTTAAAAAGATATATATTAAATTAATTGTGTATTGCTTTATTTACCTTTGGGCTTTACCTTTTTGTTTTTTTAAATAATATTTATCCATTAACTGTGATAGTTTATTTTTCATTTTTTGTTTTTTATCTTTTCATTTTTTTCAACTTTAAAAATAATATTTATCTATTAATTGTGATAATTGATTGTGTCTTTTGGGCTTTTTTGTCTTTTAGTTTTTTAAAATTTTAAATATAGTATTCACTAATTTAAAATTTGATTAATTGCGATCCTTGAATGTGTTTGTTAAGCTTTATTTGCCTTTTTATTTTTTTATTTTAATAAAAATAATATTTGTTTATTAAATGTAATAATTAATTTTATTTTTTTTTATTTTCCTTACCTTTTGATTTTTCACAATTTTAAAGAGATACATATTACATTAATTGTATATTACCTTTTTTGCCTTTTGGCTTTCAATAGGCTTAAAAATATAAATGCATATATGTATATATATATACATATATATGTTTTTAAACTCTTTTATTTATTTAATGAGATTTTCAAATAATTTACATTAATATATATTTAACAAATTGCATAAACAGAAATAAAAAGATGCATAAACTTGCTAATAGGTTGAGAGATATATTTACAATAGTAGTCTTACACATATAAATTACATTATAATAATTTACTTAATATAGACTATGTAAAATTTTGTAGAGATATATTTAATTTTTAATTTTAAATTTTAAATAATATATTAAAAATAATCTTGTAACACATAGGTTAAAATAACCTACTTGAGTAATGAAAAATGTTTAAAACTTTAGAATATCAATAAAAGTATTATTTTAAATGGTATATATTTTTATTTGCTATAAACTATTTTTTTTAAGAAATTCCAGTGAATGTTGAAAATTACCAATATTGCAATTTAACTCAAAGATTGATCAATTTCTAAAAGAATGAGGTACAAACAAATTTTAAAAGAAAAATAGAATGGATTTTAATAAATTACCTATATTTAAATAATGTAAAAATGTAAGAAATTCATTATTCAATTTTGATTATTAAATTCATTTATGTTTCAAAATAAGAAACAATATCTTTAATGAAGTTATCAATCTCATGAGAAAGAAAAAGTCAGCTCTTAATAGGCAAAAAGGTTACTTAGAGTATAATGTTTTATTTCATTCTAAATAAAACTATCAATTTGTGATGAAATTTAAATGATGAAATTTGTAAATTTGGTATTAATCTCCAGTGTTCATTTTACCTTAAATTTATTTAATAGGAAAATTTTAAACTTTTTTTAGCTATACTGGTGCTTTTTATAAATAGAAATTTATATGAAAATTTATAATTCAAACCTGAGTTTGAAGTCATGGACATGGAGGAAAAAATGTAAAAAATAATTATCTTTTTGCTAATTAATAAAAGCATAAATAGCTTAGGAATGTAAGACCTTAAACTTGATATTAAAGCCACTAATCAATATTGCGGTTAAAAAGAATTATTCTCTTTGACAAATTGAAGACATTCTTTTGATAAAAATTAAATTGAAACAAAATATAAAAAAAAGTTAATAAATTAGTCCTGATTTCAATTGTGGGTTTTATGAATTATTATTAAACCTAAAAAATTTATCCAAATTCACATATATTTATAATATTAATATTAAATGAAAGTTCTATTATTATTTATTATCACTCTAATTCATGTTGTCAACTATGAGTGCAAATGAAAAAAATTTTTAAAAAAAGCTATTTAAGGCATCGAAATGTATTTGCTGAAATAGGT